CTCTGCGCCCTAAGTTCACGGGGAGCCCGGGCGGGGGCAGACGGGGAGGCAAGGGACCGCAGCTGGGGTCGAGGCTTGAGTGCGCGCTAATGCACTGTTGCCCTGAATCTGTTGGTCACTCGGTCCATCTCTGTCGCCTTCGCAGAAGGGAAAGTTCACAGGATCCCAGCCCAGCACAGGCCTTCTCAATTCGACAAGAAAATTCTGCTGTGGACCGGGCGTTTCAAAACGATGGAGGAGATCCCGCCAACTGTCCCGTAAGTGTGGAGGGGCCCCTGCCTGGGTCTCTCCGGTGGGGTAGAGCAGGGCTTCAGCCGCTGGAGGAGCGGGGTCTGTCCCCTGCCCGACCCCGACGCGCCCCAGGGCAGCCTCAGTGCGCCCCCAGTTTGCAGGAACACCCACCAGTTTAAGGAATTTACCTGCAGCCTTCCCTTCTCCCTCTCCCGCCTCTCCTCCGCGCTCTCGGGTTGATAAATGCCAAGTTCTTTGACCGAACCGGGGCCAGCTAACTTACAGGGAGACTGCAGGAGTTGGGTGAGAACCCCGAAGTCCAGTGGGCACTTCCACAGTGGCTCAGAAACAAGTCCCCAGCGGGCGCCCTGAGAGCGGGACAGTGGAGTACACACCCCAAGCGGAAATCGCGGCCCGCGGTCCTCAGTCCTCGCGCGCACGCAGGTGGCTGTCACGGTGCTAGAGCCGGAGCGGGGATCTGGCTGGGAAGGAAAGGGTCGCATGAAGTTGATTCGGGCGGCGGCTGGAGGATCTCTAGGAAACAGCCGCCTCCTCTGGGCCGCTTCTTCTGGGATGGGAGACCGCTGCCCGGCGACCCGCGGCACTGGGTTTATTTGGTTTCAAATGCGCAGGAGAGTCAGCAAGGCTGGCTTCTTCTCCAGCCTAAGCCGACCAGGAGAGATTCACTAAATTATATATAAAACTGTAGCTAACGACTTCACCTCAGGGTAATGTGACCTGTAAAAAAATACTAGTAATAAAAATGTAAACATAACTTGTTAAAAAACAATTTTCCAAATTTCAGTTTATGCCAAGCCCAAATCATTTGCAGCACTTTCACCAGGGCTTGGATAAAACGATAGGGAAGGAATAAAATCAATTCACAACATTTGAAATCGACCTTATCAATATTTTATACAGGAAGACTAAATGTTGAATAAGGATTTCCAACGTCCTGTTTGCAACGATGTAATGGTTACCTATTTCAATGGATAATGGAAATTGGTTCTACATCTTTTTTTAATGTTGTCTCGCTTTATTGCTTATTACAATAGGTTGCCAGTTACCGAAAACCTCACAAATAAATGGATTTGGGGTAGGAAATGCCTACTCAATAATGAATTCTGAAGTATTGATATTTTTATTCCTTTCTTGGATCAAGTTACTTGAAAATGAGCATGGATTTTGAAAAAAAAAAAAAAAACATGGCATTTCAAATGTTTTCAGCTTTGGTCCCACTACAAAGGCATTTTCTGATATTATAAAATAAATTTTGTTTTCCTCCAGATCTATAAACTCCAAAGTAGATTTAGCCTAAGGCATAAATTAGTTCAGAAAAATCTTTATGGTCACAGCTCTATCAAATCTCAACTGACGCTGGGGCTGGCAGGTGGTGTGGTGGGTGGAGTGTTGGACTCCCACATGGCTGACTGTGGTTTGCGTCCCTGACCTGGCAGCTTGCTTTCTCACTTTCCTGCTCTTGCTTTCTCTGGTCAAATTAAGAATAATCATAAATAAAATTAAATAAATAATTATTTAAAATAATCTCAACTGATACTTGAACATGTAATATTTCTAATGTCAAACGAAGAGGTAAAACAAAGAAAAATGGCAACACCGGGTCTCAGTTTGTTTGGATTTTGATTTCCACTGCTGATAACAGACTAATCAAGTAAAGAATCACCATTATTATTACTTGCTTGTCAGGAGCAACTATGCCCCACATAACATAGCTATATGTGTGGAAGAGACTTATTTTACAGAAATAATTTCCTCAGATCATGGCCAAAAAAAAAATATAACCGGAAGCACTTAACTATGGACAAGAAACCTATCCTAAACTATAGTTTGGGATTGGAAACATGACAGTATTTGAATTTTGAGAAATTTTATTTTCTATTATCTTTTTTAAAGCATTGCTGTTTCAGAGGGATATGCCTATTAAGCTAGATATTAGACTTACAATGTAAACAGCTTTCTTTTAATGCTCTTAATGGACATATAATTAAGAAGTGACCTATAATTTTTGTACCATACACTAATTAAATTTAATAAAAAGTACTTTATTCTTTTTTTTTTCTTCCAGTACTTAACTAATTTAGTATAACAGATCAAAGCCAGATGGATGGGTAAAAATGATCAGGTCATTTAGGCTCTATCTGGAACCAAAGTTAGCAACAAATATAATCTAATAACGTCTTCATAGTCACTAATTGAATCTCTTTGCAACTACATCTTAAAAACCACATTTAAATCTAAGGAAAACAGGCTAGATAATTGATTTTCTGTGGTCTCTCAATTAGTGGAAAAGTTAAATTAAAAAAAATTTAAGAAAAATTACAACTTGTTTTTCTAAAGCTTTTTTTTTTTACTTTAACTGCACTTTATTTAAAGTTGAAATTAAGCAGAAAATAATGCCGCTGAGTTCACATTAATCAAGTGCTTTAATTATGTGCATTTATAAAGTACTTCATGTTATTATAAATTGTTAATGTTTATTTTAATTTAAAAGCCCCATAGTCACTATGAGCAGTTACTAAAATCTTGGACGGCTCATATATACCTTTAATAAATATGACTACCCAGTATGTAGGTAAGCATATCAAATTTTAGAATAAAGAGAAAATAAAAATGTCTTTTCCTTTGACAAATTATTGCAATTTTAATCACTTCTTTTGACTACTTCCTACAAAAACCATGAAAGAGACAACTTTTCTCTACTAACAATTCTCACAAAATATTTAACCGTCTCTTTTCAGATAAGATGAGAGAGAAGAAGATATTTGGAGTCCATTGTGAAAACAAAGTATTAAAAAATGACTTGTTCAAAATAGAGAGCAAAGCCTGTAACCCAGAGGCTAAATGATTGAGTCCTATGTATAAACATGCTTTAACTCTTACTTTTACCCCAGTTTGTGAATAAACACCATGGAGGGTCCGTCCATAATATCTAGTAGTTATATGTGAACAATTACAATCTAATTGTCCTACTCTGTGATTTTGAGAATGGCTAAAATTAGTTTAAAATCTGAAATGATGCCTGTTAGTTTGAAATGGGTAACATAATAGGCTTATTTCACATCTGCAATTTGCATAAGGGAAAATTTTTAGAATATCTACGTTGCCATCATTATGCATTGTGCCTGTCAGAAATCCATTTTACGTCAATGCAACTAACGAAACATGTATCTTGATTTAGGCCGGAAATGATAGATGCTGCAAGAAACAAAGCTCGTGTGAAAGCTTGTTATATAATGATTGGACTCACGATTATCGCCTGCTTTGCAGTCATAGTGTCAGCCAAAAGGGTGAGTATGTCCTTAAAATAAAAAGAGATTTGTGAATTTTAACGAATTTTATGGGGGGCCAGCAGGTGTCGTGGTGGTTAAGAGTGCTGGACTCCCACATGGCACATCGTGGTTCAAATCCCAAACCTGGTGGCTTGCTTTCTCACTTTACTCCCCCTCTCTCTCACTGTGTCCCTCTCTGCTCAAATTAAAATAAGTAAATAAATAAACTTAAATAAGTTATTCTTTTAAAAGAAGAAATTTTATGGTTTCTGTTTTCAATTCAGGGATTATTGTTGTTCTCTCTCTTTTTTTAATGTCTTTTTTAAAAATTTGGGTGTAAATATTTTTGTAATAGTTTGTCCAACAAATGTGTGCCTAGAAAGGATGGGGGATATTTCTGACATAAACTGTCCTGTTGACTATAAGTCTAGCAATCCAAGTATTTTTTTCCATAGCAAAAGGTCATTTTTCTTGGTTAAGATTTGTGACAGGTTAAGTTTTTTTTTTTGTCCTGAAACATATGTGTATTTGTGTGGATGTCTGTGTATAGATACATAAATATGCATATAATAAATGGTTTGTTTAAATCTGTATCCATATAGGAATTGGTTGACATGTCTCTTAAGTTTTCTTTTAAAATTTATTTAATTTTGTTTAGTTTTAAGTTATTTCTCTCCTTCTCTTTTCAAAGTTTCTCATATGTATGTCTATCTAAATTAAAAATTCTTCCACAGTGTCACAATGCTTTGTTCAATTTTTCTGCAGGCTGCAGGACGACATGAATCCTTAACAAGTTGGAACCTGGCAAAGAAAGCTAAGTGGCGTGAAGAAGCTGCATTAGCTGCACAGGCTAAAGCTAAATGATATTCTAAGTAACAAAATATCACCTGCATACCATCACTATTTTCAGCAACAATAAGAGATAGGTAAAAAGAAAATATTTCAACATATTTGCCATGGTTTCATTTGGTAACAAAAAGCACAAGGACTTTTTGTTTAGTAAATGTTTATTGAGGTATACCGTACATTCAAAAAAGTGCACATGTACATTGCTTGATCAATTTTTACAGAGCAAACACACATGTGTAACCACTGCCCAGGTCAAGGTGTTGAGAAGAGTTTCAGTGATTTCATAGGAGTATCTTTTCCTGCCCCCTCCGGTTTTCTATAATCACCTCAGCCTCATGTCCAAGATCCAAGTTGTGGACTCACTCTCACAGTTCATAGTTGTCAAGGATATTATTTTTTTCCCATATACACTTTGATTGAAACCACTTCAACATCAGTGGCTCCTCAGATATCTCTTTTCTCCCTTTTCTCAGTAATTACCCTCCAAGGGGAAACATTGGTCTGAGTTCTGTCACCATAGATATTAGGCTGGTGCAGAAGTAATTGTGGTTTTGCCTTGTTGAAATTTGCTATTTGATTTTGAAATATATTCGTAAATAAAAGTGGTTATGTCATACATCATTTTAATGTTCATTTCTCACTTTATGTTTTTTTGCTAAAGACTTATTAGTTGCTGTTTATCATATATGTATTTTAGACTATGGAAATGATGTTAGACAAAAAGCAAATTCAAGCAATTTTGTTATTCAAGTTCAAAATGGGTCATAAAACAGCAGAAACAACCCCCAACATCAACAATATATTATGCCCAGAAATTGCTAACAGAGGAACAGTGCAGTGTTGGTTCAATAAGTTTCGCCAAGGAGACGAGAGCCTTGAAGATGAGAAGTGCTGTAGGCAGCCATCAGAAGTTGACAATGATCAATTGAGAGCAATTATGGAAGCTGATCCTCTTACAACTACTCAAGTTGTCAACTCAAAATTGGCCATACTACAGTAATTCAGAATTTGAACCAAATTGGAAAGGTGAAAAAGGTTGATAAGTGGGTACCTCATTAGCTGACTGGAAAAAAAAAAAAGTTTCGCAGTGTTGTCTTCTGTTATTCTATGCAACAATGAATCATTTCTTCTTTTGTTTATTTATTTTTTAGAAAGATTTTTGCTATAGGACACATGTGCTCACTGGAGAGATAGAGAGACAAAAGACAAGAAGTCACCCACTGGGGTCATGCTGCAGTCCCTTTTCCTCCATTCTCCTCTTGGGATTTTGGGCACGCACATACATGCGCCCAGCATGAAAGTTAAGCTGTCCATCCAGGACTCAAACTGCGGTCAACTAACGTGGGAGTCTACTGATGTAACCATTCCACCATCTGCTAGTCCCAGTAATGAACCATTTCTTGACTGGATTGTGATGTGCGATGAAAAGTGGGTTTTATAAGACAACTGGTGATGACCAGCTCAGTGACTGGAATGAGAAGAAGCTCAAAGCACTTTCCAAGGCCAAAAACTGGAGAGAACCAGGTCGTATTCACTGTTTGGTGGTATGCTGCTAGTCTGATCTACCATAGCTTTCTGTTTGTTTTTGCTTTGGAGAAGTTTTTGCTATAGGGCACGTGCACTTGCCAGTCAGACAGAGAGAGACAGACAGACAGAAAGCAAGAAATCACCCCCCAGGGGGGATGGCCACGCCACAATCCCTTCTCCTCCATTCTCCTCTTGAGATCTTGGGCACGCACACACACACGCCCGGCGTGAGTTTAAGCCAGTGGGTCCAGGACTCGAACTGCGGTCGACTACGTGGGAGTCCAGCGACATAGCCATTATGCTAACTGCTGGTCTCTACCACAACTTTCTGGATCCTAGTGAAACCATTATATCTGAGAAGTATGCTCAGGAAATCATGAGATGGCCAATGCAATATCTACAGCTGGCATCAGTCAACAGAAAGGGCCTAATTCTTTTCCACAGCAATTTTCTACCACATGTCACACAACTCATGCTTCAAAAGTTGAACTAGGGACCAGGAGTTAATGTAATAGCTATGTTGCTGGACTCCCATGTAGTTGACTGCAGTTCGAGTCCCGGACCCAGTGGCTTAAACTCATGCCGGGCGCGTGTGTGTACATGCCCAAGATCCCGAGAGGAGAATGGAGGAGAAGGGATTGCAGCGTGGCCATCCCCCCTGGGGAGGTGATTTCTCGCTTTCTGTCTCGCTGTCTCTCTCTGTCTTTCTGGCGAACGCACATGCCCTATCACAAACAACAAACAAACAAACAAAAAACTCAAAAAAAAAAAAAGAAAAGTTGAACTAATTGGGTTACAAAGTTTTGCCTCATCTGCTATTTTCATCTGACCTTTTGCCAAATGACTAACACTTCTTCAAGCATCTCAACAACTTTTTGCAGGAAAAATGCTCCACAACTAGCAGGATGTAGAAGATGCTTTCCAAGAGTTTATCAAATCCTGAAGCAGAGATTTTCAGGAATAAACAAAATTATTCCTCATTGGCAAAAATGTGTTGATTTTAATGATTCCTATTTTGATTAATAAAGATGTGTTCAAATATAGTTAAAATGATTTAACATTCATGGTCAGAAACCTCAGCTGCTTTTGCACTAACCTAAGTTTTGCCTGTTTGGGATTTATATAAATGGAATCACACAATATGCATTTGGATGTGTATGTTATGAGATTCATTCACAAATTGTGTGTAGCCTTAGGTCATTCATTTTTACTGCAATATAGTATGCCATAATATGAATACACCACAATTTACCTGCAAATTTGAGAAAACAAAGAAGACCTTATCATAGTTGATAAGTTAAAATCCAAAGAATCAAGCCTATCTGCTGCTGCTGTTTGCATGGGGTTATCCGGCTATCCTAGGTATAGAATATTGACAAAAACAAGATCTGCTGAGGCTGAGAGGGTGGACTGGTAAATATTCACATAAAGCCAGAATTACAGAGAAGATTCTACGGGCAGATGTTTGAGTTGAGGGTGTTGATAAGTGTCCCCACCCTTTGTATCAGTCAGTTCTACCATAGAAAAGAATCAATAGCTCATATATGTATACGCATGTGTGTGAGTGAAGGACACTGAGGCCATCTCTGTGTCCCTCCACTCTTTTGCTGCATTCAGTTCTTCATTACCAGCCCTGAATGGGAGTTTCTATTTGAGTAATGGGCATTCATTCAGATCTCTGAACTGAGATAATACCTCTAGCCATTGCCCTTAATAGACTGATACTCTTTGATCTCTAGTTTCAAGACTTCCTTAGATAGCTTGCTTCCCTTGCCTGCCAGTTGGTGGGTGGTGTGATGGTGAAGGCAGCTGGCTGACAACACTGTTCTCTCAGTCCTGGCAGCTTATAAAACACACCCGTGGGGCCAAGAAAAAGGGATTGTGGTGTGGACATCTTCCTGGTAGGGGGACACTTTCTCACTTTTCCTCTCTGATCAACAGTAGGGAAGCTACCTACCTTTGATCTTTTAGCACCACACTCAATAGTCACACCTCCCTCCCAAGTTTATCAGCAAGCTCCTTAAAGATTTGAGCTTGTTGTAGAGGGTGCAGGGCAGCAGCCAAGGAGATGAAAGTGGTTACAGTTTGAGTAGAGGCCAGGCCAGGCTGCAGGACCATGGCAGCCTGGTGAGTAGTGCTAGGAGTGGGGCAGTGGGGCAGAGGGGCAGTGAGGCAATGGACCAGAGCATGTGGGAAGTGAAACCTGAAGTGCCCACCTGTGAGAACCCCTCCACAGAACCCTAACCCCTATTTCATGCTACCTTCTGTTAATAAACTTATCAAATCCTCTGAGCAATTGTCTGTGTGTGTGTGCGTGTGTAATAGCACAGTTGGACAGCAATGTGTGTGTACATACATTTATACACACACATATATGTATGCATAAAGATACACTGGATGTATTTATAAAAGCTGACTATAGGAGTTGACTGTAGTAATCACGTAGACTGTGGAGGCTGATGAATCAGGAATCTGCAGGGCAGACCATCAGGCTGGGAGCTTTCTGGTAAAAGTGAAAGCTGCGGTCCACAGGCACATTTTTTTTTTTTTTTTTTTCTCATGGAGACCTCAGTTCTGCTCCTAAGGTTTTTCAACTAATTGGATAAGCCCAAGATTAGCAAGAATATCTCCCTAATGGCAGAGGGTGAGAAGTAGGGAATCAAGGAGGGGGGGAAAGAAGCAAAATATATAAGAAACAAAAAAATGGAAAGTTATTTGTAGATGATAACATGTACAGTAATATCCTTGACTGAGCCAACATACAGTGTATTCTGGATGGAAAATCTCATTTTGTATACTATAATGATGTACAGTGAATGAATGTAAATAAATAAATTTAAAATAAAAAAATCATAAAGTGAACTGACTATAGATGTTAACCCCTTCCACAGAATATATTCACAGCAGCATTTAGATTAGTACATAATTGAATAACTTGGTAGTTTAGCCTAGCCAAATACATAAGGCTAACCATCAGAGAGAAGAAACTCATCATCTTTACATTCAAATGAACAGTAAGAATGAAGGAAACTGGACTCCCAAGTAGTCGAGCACGGTTTGAGTCTCAGACTTGGTGGCTTAAAACTCACATCAGCCCATGTGCGTGCATGCCCGAATTCCTCAGAGGAGAATGGAAAAGAAGGGATTGTGGCATGGCCGTTCCCCTAGGGAGTGATTTCTCGCTTTCTGTCTGTTTCTCTCCAGCAAGCGCACACACTTTATAGCAGAAATCTCTCCATAAAAGAAAAAAAGAATGAAGAAAAACTCAGGAAATGGAGCTATGGTTGTAGATCTGGATCCAGAAATGGTCCCATTCCCCAAAAATGCTCAGCTACAGCCCTTCTTCACCTTGATCCTACAACCAAAAACATCAGCAAAGGGGCCTAGGAGTAATCATGAACACGATTATATCAGCAGCAGGTCTGATCAGCAATCAGCACTTCCAGCATGGACCTAAAAATTACCCTGTGAATTGGTTCCAGTCCCCCTCACCTATGGTGCAGGTTGGTCCTACTCACACAAGGACCCAGGAGACTCACTCATCTGTGCCATTGACAGTCTCGTGGAACCCTGTTCAACAGCAGGCCTTGAAGAGCTTGTCTTTGCCGCAGCCTTTCTCTGTGAAGTTGGACTGCTCCTGGGTATAAAAGGAGACTAACTTGCCAAAACTAGTGTTAAAGACTGAAATAGAGATTTACTTCTTATAATGCACAGACATAATAGCAAGGCTACATGAATAACAAAGAATCAGGCAAAACTAACACCAGTAAGGGAAAGTAGTGAACTTCCAAAGATGGGCAAATTGCCTGAAAAATTTAATATAGTCATCTTTACAAAGCTCAACAAGGGCTACCCAGTGGTGAGATGTTTCACCACCACTGGATCCTACATGGCCGAATGTGCAGTTCAAGTCCTGGACCCAGGGGCTTGGAAAACGTGTGTGTCCAAAAACCCCAAAAGGAGGGATTTGGTATGGCTGTATACTCCGGGGATTGCTTTTTCACTTTTTACCTTCTTTCTCTTTCTCTCTTTCTCCTGAGAGGGCACATACCCTATAGCAAAAACTAAGGAAAAGAAATAAAAAAAAGGAAAAAGCTCAATGAGATGCAAGAAAATGTAGACAACTAAATAAAATTAGGAAAACTGTATAAACAAAATGAAAGGTTAAGGACAGAAAGGAAATCATACAAAAAACGAACCTAACAAGAACACTGGAGCTGAAGACTACAATGACAGAACTGAAAACTCAAACTTCAACAGCAGACTTCCTATGCAGAAGAAAAAAATTAGTGAGCTCAAAGACAGGTTGTTTGAAATTAGATAAACGAAAGACAGAAGACTGAAAAAGAGTGAAGAAAACATAAGAAACCTATGAACACCATCAAATATATAAGTATACAAATTATGGACATACCAGGAGAGAGAAAGGAGATGATGTTTATCCTTAAAAAATACTGTCTAAAACTTCCCAAATGAGCAGATCAGACAACAAAAAACAAGATTAGTGATGATGAAAATAAAGCAATGGAAACGATGCATAATGAAACAGAAATACAAATTAAAAACAAATGAGCAAAAGTATTAATTAGTTGTGTGACTATTTTAAGCAGAATAAAAGTGAAATTGAAAACATTTGACTGGTTATGTTTCCAAATTTGATGACAATTACATATTCACATATCCAAAGAAGCTCAACTAACTGTAAGAACAAGAATTGGTTGTTTTAGGATTTAAAATATGCATTTTTAGGGACCAGCAGTTAGCATAATGGCTGTGTCACTGAACTTCCATGTAGTCGAACGGTTCGAGTCCTGGACCCAGTGGGCACTCATGCGTGCGTGCCCAAGATCCCGAGAGAATGTAGGAGAAGGGATTGTGGGCATGGCCATCCCCCCTGGGGGGTGATTTCTCACTTTCTGTCTCTCTGTCTCTGTCTTTCTGGCAAGCACACGTGCCCCATAGCAAAAACCTCTCTAAAAACAAACAAAATGCATTTTTAATTTGGTCTACCCTTAAGTAATATAAAAACAAAGAATGATGCACCTTCCCACTGAGCACTTGAACTATGGCTAGTGTCTCTGAGTACTGAAACTATTTTGTGGTGATAGTTATACATCTCTGTGACTATACTAGAAAAATCACATTTTTATTGCCCCAAGAAGAAACGTTGTACCCAAACACCCTCCATCTCCCTACAACTCTCTGCAGTTCCAGGCAATCATTAATGTATTTACTACTACAGATTTACCTACTCTAAATTTCATACAAATGAAATGAAAAAATATTTGCTATTTTGTGACCGAGTCTTTCATCTAACACGTTTTCAACATTTATTCTTGTTGTAGCATGCATCAGTATTTCACTGATTTCTTTGTGTGTGGGTTAGTAATAATTTCCTTGTACAGTTATATTTTATTTATCCATTCATTAGTAGGTAGATATTTCCACATTTTGACTATCATAAATTGATCTCTTTATCAAATAACCCTTATTCATCCTTGGTAATATTCTTTGCTCTTAAATATGTTTTGATACTCACATGACCATTCCAACCTACTTTGGATTACTGTTTGCACAATATATCTTCTTCCCAGCCTTTTACCTTTAACTCATTTGCTTCTTTATAATATGGTTTTCTTGTAGGCAACATATGGGTCTTATATTTTTATCCTACCTGCATTTTAATTGGAGTATGTAAATCATTAACATTTACTGTGATTACTGATACAACTGAATTCAGATCTACCAATAAATCTTGCTATTTATTACATGTTTTTTTCTAGATATCTTTTTCCTCTTTTCTGTCAGTTTTAACTCTTATTTATGATTCTATTTTATGTCCTTTGTTGGCTATAGAAGACAACGAGAGTTGGGGCCAGCAGATGGCGTAGCAATTACATCACTGTGTTCACATATGACTGATCAGGGTTCAAGTCCTGGACCCGGTGGTTTCAAAATCACACTGGGCACACGTGCGTGTGTGCTCAAGATCTCAGGAGGAGAGTAGAGGAGAAGGGAGTGTGGTGTGCCTATTCCCCCAGGAGTGATTTCTCACTTTCTCTCTCATTGTCTCTTTCTCTTTCTCTAGCCAGAACACACAACCTAAGGCAAAAACCTCTAAAGAGAAGGTAGCTAGAATTTTAATGAATTATAGCATCTGTTTTTGCTTCTTGTGAGGAATATATTTAAGTGAATAAAATGAAATACACATTTATATAAATGCAATTGTAAAATAGTGTTTTATTATTTGCAATATAGTGCTATAGCATTTCATAATATTGCATACTGCTCAGATGTTATTTCATTAGTTAGTTAAAAATATTCTCCCCTCATGTCACTCCCCAGTCAGAATTTAGACACACTACTCTTCTAGAGCCCTATTATATTGGCTCCTAAAATGTCACTTTTCATAAAACAGTAATGCTATGAATGAAAATGAATTGTCAACAATTTGATTTCACAGTTTCACAATTAAGCAGCCAGTAAATTGTTGAATTTAGAACAGTAATGAAAACCTACAACATTTTTATATTTTCTTGTTCCATAATGCTCCTTCTTAAGACAAGACAAAATATAAAGGCAAAGGTAATAAACACTTCCTTTAGTCCGTCTAAGTAAATCAACATTTAACTGCAAGTAGATTGTACAGTTACCAAACAATATATTATTTCTGTGCCAGAAAATTTTGTTATTATTATTTTTTGCTCTGTTGCTCTGGTACTACCAGTAAGAAAACAAATGACATGTAAAGGACACTAAAAATTAAGTTAGAACCTTTCCAAATAAAACTTACAGTAAAAAAAACAAACAAACAAGGGAGTCAAATATTAATAAATATAAAACGAGCAAGCATAATTGCATAGATCAACCAGTAGTAACTAAAAATCCGACAAATAACCACCCCACCGAGTTTAAGGAACTAAATGAAAAGTACTCTTTCAAGTGTTTTCTTGGTATTTGTATTAATGTTTGCATGCATTCCCCTTTATAATACTTTTTAATTTAATTTTTGGCACAATTTCTTTCAGATTTAATATAATAAATCTTAATAAAGCAAGTTAAAATTTTTTTCCACAAGGACCAGTGAAGATTACTGAAAACACGTTTTTGAAGCACTATAAATAGTAAAGCTGAAAAGAGCAGGCATATATTCCTTTGAATGCTGATAACACAGTATTTGTTAGCCTTCTTGCAATAAACTCATCACCAGGTCAAGAGCTGGTCCCTACTACATAGTGCACTGTGCATTCAAATCAAATCAAGTCAAACCAATTCGTGGAGTAACATACCCAAGAAACTAAATACAACTTTGTCCTTAAGTACTTTATGTATAGTTTCATTCTATACTTACGGATGCAAATTTGGCTTTATAGGCAAAAATTTAAAAATCTTTCCTTTACAGGATATTCGATGTGTACGCATATGTACATATACATATATATATTACTTTTCCTGCTTTAAGAACTATTTTGTTTGAAAGATTTGGCTTAGAGATTTATTCTAGTGACTATAGGGTTTGCAAAACAAAAAATCAGGCACAGCTGGTTATTTCTGATTAATGCTGTATTACCAACTTTGATTCGTTAGAAAGAGTAGAATACCCTGTCACCTGATGCTTATAACCATCTGCATCATAAAAAGTTTATCTGATAAATTCACCATTAATTTTTAAACCTTTAATACTACCCTGTTTGTTTTTAATATATATAATGTAAAAGAAAAACTTTTAATACTCAACTGTATAACTTCTACTATAATAAATGAGCACAGATATATTCTTCTACTTAACAATATACAAAAAGGTTGGTAGATGCAGTCAGCATTATGGACACCACTTAAACCTGAATTTTATAGCTGTAGGTTTTAAGTGTCTTGCCAAAAGCTTAGTTTCATATTTCATTTACAAAGTGTCATACTTTTTCAAAGTATTCCTATATACATTTTCCTCTTACAGCATGCCTCTGATTTCCAGCAGAAACATTACAAATGCTATCATAAATGAAATCTTTTTTTACAGAATAGACTATGAATCATATCAAAATTGCCTAATTCCCATCTTAAAAGAGTCATAAACTGAGTTTTCAATAAGTATCCTAGGTATATTAAGTGGAAATGTAAATAGTCTCATATAGCTAAAAATTAAAAGATTGAGCTCAACAGTACCATATCTGCTTAGAAAATTCTACCAAGCATAACAGTACCTTGACAGTTACACACATGACACACACACATATATGCATCTATAAGTAAATAAATATATATATATATATAATTTAACTATTGAAATCTTTCTCTTAAGACTTTCAGAGTTTGAAGAGGTTTTTGCTGTTAATTTATAAAATGCACACATTATGTTGACCAATCTGCTATAAACATAATAATTCATAACAAACAGTGGTATGACCCTCTGATTACTACCCAAAAAAGTCTAACATAGATTTTAACTGTATTCAAGAATTCTTTACAATTTTCATTAATAGTATCATTTAGTGTCCAATCTATCACACACATTTAAAGAAATTTAGTATATACCAAGGTGATTTCTCCTTCAAGTACCTAAGTCCATTATTACATAGAGAATAAAACTGCTCATTTTCTGCCCTGAAAAATCAGAGAAAGATTTACAGTATTTCTTTTTAGATAAGCAGCACTACCTTTCACGATGGCCTATCATGATGTTCTTTAACATGAAGAGTGAAAAAAATAATAAAACACTATTTCAAAAATGGTAACATATTTGGTAGAAATAGAAAATATACTAATAGATAGTATTTATATGTTAAAAACACACATATTTAAGTGTTTTGTAAAGTAATCCTTTTAATGTACTCAACATGTTCATTTAACATGAAGAATAGCTTCTTTCTTCACAACTGCCGCTTCTAACTGCTTATCGCTATAATAGTCTACATTTTATAAATAAAATTGACAGATTTTATGTTGTAAGTTTTTTGTTGTTGCAAAGTATAATCTACAGCACAGTGATTTATAATTTAAGGTAATAAATAACCACATTCTAATTTAGCTTTTATACTATTTTGTGTTTTTGAAGCTTTTTTGTTATTTTTTGCTTCAAGATAGAGGTAGATTTAGTAAAGCTTGGGCAATATCAGACTTACTGCCAAAATGCAATTATCAATAATAGTTGTACTGCTATTGTGCAGTTTTCAGATATGCTTGAAAAATTAAGAACCATTATGTAATACATTACCAAAGTTTTTCAAGCTTAGGATATTAAATAATTGCATAATACTTGTTCACAAATAGAAAAATCCAAACAACAAAATACATAAATAGAAACAGCAAAAAAGAAACAAAAAACCCTAAAAACTAACAAAGAGTCCATCTGACAGGAAACTTTTGTTTCAATTTTTCTTTTTGTAAGTACAACAAATTGTCTTTTTTTGGTGAAAAAACATCAAACATTGCTACTGAAAAATGGCAACAAAGAGGAAATATCTGAAACTACTCTTTTTAGACACAGTTTCTTCTTCCAAGCTAAAGTTGAAACCCTTCCATTGGTGCTTCCTGCTGCTGAAATACAAACTGTTGTTGGTTTTCATCCACCTGAGGTACAATGTTGGGATCATCTTCTTCTACACCAAAATAATGTTCAATTAGGTCAAAAGCCTTCTGGTAAATTTCCTGATTTTCATGGCTTTGCAGAAACTCTATTTTATCCAGACCTATTATACAAAACATAAATATGTATAAACAAATTTTTATTATAGGCTTGGTATATATTTATATCAAAATATGAAATCAACAGCATCTATTACTCTACTGGCAGAAGGACTGCTATTTTTTTAAAAAGAGATTTATTTAATTTTACTTATTATTATTACTTTTAATTTGTTATAGGGCATGTGTGCTCAGCAGAGATTGGGAGAGAGGGAGAGTGAGAAAGCAAGTTGCCAGGTCCAGGACTCAAATCATGGTCAGCCATGTATGAGTCTAGCACCACCACCATGCCACCTGCTGGCTCCAGGATTGCTATTTTTATCTGATCTTTGCACAGATTGATAGCCAACACTTATATCATACTCTTAAGAAAGAGAGTAGGCAGTGCGATATGAAGAAAGTCCACAACACAGTGAGGGAGGAAGATCACAGACACCACCCCACTAGCTGTATGATCGTGGCCAAGTGTGGTGCCTCTGTACTTTAGTTCTTCAATTGGAAAATGGCACTTTAAGCCACTCCATAGGTCCTTTCCAAGTAATTATGCTAATTAACATAGCACAAAATGGGAAAAACACCGTAACAAATTAAATGAACAAGCCAAAACACACTGAATTAGTGGATATTACGATTAAATAAATGCATACTATTTGTAAATCTGTGACTCCTTTTCCCAATTAACCACCACGTACAGCTGACATATGATTTACCGAAAGAACTTACAAGTGAAATTAAACAAATATATCAAAATGAACACAGCTTACTTTGAAAGTATGAGGAGAATTTATAAAATTCTATTTTATTGCTTACAAGAAAAATGTCTATACATGTCTGGGTAATGCTGAAAATACTTTTCATTTAATTACAGACAAATCACTTCAACAGGATTATTATAAAATAGGAAATAAAAGCAAAATAGTCATATCTATATACAAGCATAGACTAGCCTAAACCTTCATATAACTTGATCGAAATAATGACTAACTATAGTAAGAAAATATTCTTGAATCAATGATTAATATCTTGTATTTAGGTAATGACTTAGTAAGTGACATTATATAATTTGAAATAAAGCAAAGTGACATAGTGGTATCCCAGGTTTCATTTAAGGATCATAAATACAAGTTCAAATTAGCCCTACAATATAGGGGATTTAATACAGAAAAGTGAATATTTAAAGTAAATACATGAAAAGAAAAACATATACTCACACCTTATTCTAAAGTAAATTCCATATGAATTGTTAAATAGTTTAAAAATCAAATCAGAAAAAACATCTAGCCAATAAAAAAAATAATTCCTGGGAACCAGCAGTTAGCGTAATGGCTATGTCGCTGGACTCCCACGTAGTCGACCGCAGTTCATGTCCTGGACCCGGTGGCTTAAAACTCACGCTGGGCGCGTGTGCGTGTGTGCCCAAGATCCCGAGAGGAGAATGGAGGAGGAGAAGGGATTGCGGCGTGACCATCCCCCCTGGGGGGTGATTTCTCGCTTTCTGTCTCTATGTCTCTCTCTGTCTGTCTGGCGAGCGCACGTGCCCTACAGTGAAAAATCTCTCAAAAATAAAATAAAATAAAATAAAATAAAATAATTCCTGGGGCTGGCAGGTGGCATGGTGGCTAAGGCGCTGGACTCCCACATGGCCAACCACGAAATAGAAGCTCAGACTAAGTTATTCATTAAATATAAATGAACAATTTGTCTTAATAAATTTTAAAAAAGGATGTGAAAAAAACAATACACTATTTGAATATGTCTGCCCCCAAATTCATTTACTGGATACTTAAATGCATTGTAACAGTATAAGATATTGGAAACTTAATCCAATTATGGTATTAAGTGGAGCCTTCGCTGGACTCCCACATGGCCAACTGTAGTTCAAGGCCTGGCCCTGGTGGCTTCAAAATCATGCCAAGTACACATGCATGCATGCCCAAGATCCCAAGAGGAGAATGGAAGAAGGATTGTGGCATGGCCATCCCCTGGGGGGTGATTTCTCACTTTTATTCTCACCGTGTCTGTCTCTCTCTGGCAAGTTCATGTGCCCTAAGGCTGGAAAACTTTCTTAAAAAAAAAAAAAAAAAAAAAAAAAAAATGTGGGAGAGCCTGGAACCAGAAGATGGTGTAATGGTTACACTGCTTGACTCCCACATGGCTGACCACAGCTCAAGTCCCAGATTCAGTGGCTTGAAACACACATGTCTCACTTTCTCTCTCACTGTCTCTGTCTCTCTATCTCTAGAAACTGCATGTACCCCAAGGCAAAAACCTCTTAAAAATTAAAAAAGAGAGAGAGAGAGAGGTGAAGCCTTTGGGAGATGATGCTCTGTACCACCTTGGGACTTCATAAAGAGTCCCTAACAAGAGGAAGAGAAAGACTCTCGGACCAGCAGGTGGCTTGGTGGTTAAGGTGCTAGACACTTTCATTGCTGACCACTATTCAAATCCCGGACCTGGAAGCTTGCTTTCTCACTTTCCCTCTTACTCTCTTTCTCTATTAAATATTAATAATAATAAACTGGGACCAGCAGTTGGCATAATGGCTATGTCGCTGGACTCCCATGCAGCCTACCACAGTTCAAGTCCTGGACCTGGTGGCTTAAACTTACACCAGTACATGTGCGTACATGCCCAAGATCTCTAGAGGAGAATAGAGGAGAAGGGATTGCAGTGTGGCCATCCTCCCGGGACGTGATTTCTCACTTTCTATCTGTTTTGACCCTGTCTTTCTGGCAACCGCACACACCCTATAGCAAAAACCTCTCCAGAAAAGAAAAGAAAGAAAGAAACTTAAACAAGTAAATCTTCAAAAAAAAAAAAGACCCTCACAAGATGCATCCCCTTTATCTTCAAAACTTCTAAATGAACTTCTATTTGTTATAAATTACCCAGTCTGTATTATCCATTTACAGTAATAGAAAAATAGACTAAAACATCATATCAAAATAAACAACTGTGTAATAAAATTAATTTAAATTTTTACAAAACAAGGATCAAATAGGCCGCTGCACAAAGTATAGTAAGTATGCAACTTAGATGAAGAAATACACTGAAGCATGGGAGATACATACCACCCTCGATATGAAGGGAAACAAAAAATTAAGATAAAATCAACCTGGCAATACCATTTTACATCTGCTAAATCAGCAAAATCAAGAAAACAAGTATCACGTTGTGGAACAGATTTCTACAATGCCGTGATACTGTCAAGGAATAGGGCATCAGAAAGCAAATCGAGAATACATATCAAAACTACTCAGAGAGGGAACCAGCAGTTAGCGTAATGGCTATGTCGCTGGATTCCCACGTAGTCTAGTCGACCACAGTTCACGTCCTGTGCCCGGTGGCTTAGAACTCACGCCGGGCGCGTGTGCGTGCGTGCCCAAAATCCCGAGAGGAGAATGGAGGAGAAGAGATTGCGGCGTGGCCATCCCCCCTGGGGGGTGATTTCTTGCTTTCTGTCTCTATGTCTCTCTCTGTCTGGCGAGCGCACGCACCCTATAGCGAAAACCTCTCGAAAAAAAATAAATAAAAAAATTTAAAAACACTACTCAGAGAATGCATTCCAGAAAATTTATCTCAAAATATTCATTTAACAGAAGAAACAAACTAACATACAGAAAGAGGCTTATTTTGGTGTATATAAAGTAGTAAAAGAAATTGGAAACAAACAGTCAACTACAAGCGTGTGTCTAAAAATACATTCACTGACTCTTCACTCGATATAATGTATGTCACTATAATAATCATAAAAAATCACGTAGAAATGAAAAATTTCTCCAAAACATTAAAAAAAGGACACAAAACTACACATACACTGAAATAAATCAGTGCAACGTATCTGTAAATAAGGACAATATAAAAAGAAATGTAAGTAAAAAGAAATTATAAAATTCTGAATAACATTTTAAAACATTTTTTAAATTATACTGCATTGAAAACAAAAACTTTCCCAGAAGGGGATAATGCCTATAACAGATCATTAAAAGCTGACTGTAATAATAAATTTTTAGCTGATTACTTACCATATGCTTCTTCAATGAGAGCACAGTACGGATTAATGCCTATTCCATTGTGCTTAGATTCTTGTTCTCCGAGGCGTAAAATATTTTCAAGTCCATTTAATGCCACTTGAACTATTTTGGAGTCCATAACAGTCAAAAGGTCACAAAGTGGTTTGATGCAGCCTAAGGCTACCAAATACCTTCAGAGTAATTAAAAATAAAGAAGTGAAAATTTTGTTTTAATATTTAAATAAGTAATGTTTTTAACAATATGAAAATAATTTTCATAGTGAAATATTATATAAGCAATTAAGAAAAAGATTCCTACAGATAAACTCAAATATTAAAAATTTAAATTTTCATTTACATAAGAACCTATAAAAGTTTACTCTATTATTCCCTAATTCAATAATCAGCGATGAATAGTACTGCAAATACTATAAAACACACATACACAAGAAACTGGTACTTGGGTCTGCTTTTACATGGCATATGACACTAAGAAATGTTTTTTTTTGGGGGGGGGGGTTAGCTTTGGTTTGTGAAGAAAAGCCTGTAAGTACACACAGAAGTCACACGGGGATAGGAATAAGTGAAGAACAAGAAGAAACACCTAAATTAAACGTTATAAAATTTCTTACACCAAAACAAGAAAAGATACACTTAATATTCTGAAACATATGCTGTGTTTCAGAAGCACAGAACAAAATAAGTATGCTTGTGAATAGTTTTTGTGATACAAATAAATTCACAAAATATATTACATATTTTGTCTTTCTCTAGTTGTTATTACTCTTCCATTCTCTATAATTTATATAAAGTAACTGATTTGTTCATAATTGGCAAAAAATCCATATTAAGAACAAGGATTAAAAACATGCTCTAGGGCCAGTCCTATAGCACAGGGGTTATCGCAGGACACTACAGCTTGGATTCTTCTGGCTGACCACAGTCTGAATCTGAGCCCCAGAGGATGGTAAAACATGGTGGGCACATCTGTTTGCCCAAAATCCTTACAGGATGGACAAATGGAGGGGAAAAAAAATGTGGTATGAACATGCCCAATCAGGAGACGGTTCTTCTTTTCTCTCTGGTGACTACATGTACCTTCTGGCAAAAGAAACACACACACATACACACTCACACACACACACACACACACACACACACACACACACACTAAGAAAACATGTTCTGACGACAGAGTGAATGGCTTCAAGGTCCAATTTGTTTCTTATTACTAGTTATGTGATGTTTGGCCAAAGCTCTATGCTGTTTCTCCATCTTAGAATTGGGATAATAAGAGTACCAACCTCAGAGGGTAGCTGTGAGAATACACAAGCCTATAATAAAAGTTAGTTTGCATCCCTTAAAAAATAATGTACATACCTTCTCCAGAGTACTCACTTGCCATGTACTGTATTGTAAATGATCAAAAATATTTGGTGAATGAATAACAACTACCTCATTGAGTAATGAAAGTAAAGAAAAGAAAACATCTGAAATGTACATAATACATTACTGATGTTCAATAACTGAAATGACTTAATTAGCACTGTCAATAGGAGGCACTCAGTAAACATTAGCGGTATGGCAGGCTTAACCTAATCTGAGACCAAGAAGTACTTATCCTATAAAAACAGAGTTAATGAAATGGTAAAAATGGTTACAACAATAATTGTCTCGGTTGGGCACATTATCCCTACTATTAAGTTTAGAGAATTCTACATGGAATAGATTTAATCATGAAAATAAATTAAAAAATATACACGAGTTCCTCGGTGAACAAACTTTCAGCTAAAAGCATACAGAAATAATATTTTCATTAAAAAGAAAATATGAGATAGAATGAAAGGTCTTGTTCCATGATTGATTGTATTATGACACAAATGAGGAGGAAATATTAATCAAAGAAAAGGCATGAAATAGAAAATAAAAAAGAGACATGTTAATATATATCAACAGATACAAATCTGAGATCAAAATAACAGTGCCAATGAAGGCAATGAAGGACGATTTCCCAATAGATTTCAAAGTCACGTGATTTATAAAATGCATTGTAATTTGAATTCTTGTTTTATAAATTGAAAAATGAATCAAATAATCAAATATTCATTAGAAAATATTTCCTAAATAGTCACTTTAAAAGCCTAAAGTCTTGAGTTTCATGGATAGATCAGCAAAGCAGAAAGATTGTGTATGAAGTTATGGTTTTCTTTTCTTTTCTTTTTTTTACAGAGAGAATTTTGCTATAGGCACATGTGCTCGCCAGCGACAGAAAGTGAGAAATCACCCCGGGGTGGGGGTGAGGGTGGAGGTGGGGAGATGGCCTCATCTACGTGAGATTAAAAGAGTAAAAGCACATGATTTAAAAAGATTCAGAAATCAACACTGATAATAAAAGGTATGATGATTACAAGTAATAATGATAATGGTAGCTAAACTCATTTGAGAACTTAGTATGCTTAGATATTGTGCCAATAACTTTAAATTCATGAATTAACTATTGATGAATTTAATTATCAAGATACTAACATAAGGTATTAACTGTTACTGAACTCATTTTTTCTAAAAAATTATTTTAGGGAGCAGCAGGTGGCATGGTGGTTAAGGCGCTGGACACTTCCACATGGCCGACCACAGTTCAAGTCCTGGACCTGGTGGCTTACTTTCTCACTTCCCTTCTCTCTCTCTCTTTCTGTGTGTGTGTGTGTGTGTGTGTGTGTGTGTGTATCTCTATCTTGTCAAGTTACAAAATGAATAAATAAATAAATTAAGTAATTAAAATAAATCTTTTAAAAAAAGAATTATTTAAAAATAAATTATTTTATTTAGCTTTATTTATTTAAATTTGACCAGAAAAGGACAGAGAGAGAAAATGAGAAGGCAAGCTGCCAGATCTGGGACTTGAACCACAGTCGGCCATATGGGAGTCAAGCATGCTTAACCACAACACCTGTGGGCCCGAACTCATTTTTAAGAAGGCACTGGAGAGACCAGCAGGTGGTGTGGTGGTTAAGGTGCTGGACACTCCCACATGGCTGACCATGGTAGGAGTCCCAGACTGGGTGGCTTGCTTTCTCAACCTCTCTCTCTCTCTCTCTCTGTGTGTGTGTGTGTGTCTCTGTCAAAATTTAAAAATAAATGAATGAATAAATAAAATTTAAAATAAATAATTCTTTAAATAGAATTAAAAAAAAAGGAACTGGATAGAAAGTTTTGATGACTTTGTCAAGACCATAAACTTTTGCTGAAGCAGCGGGAAGGAAAACAGGCTGATTGAAAAGCACATGCACTTACTATTTATGTTGTCAGCAAAATACACAAACAACAAAAATCCTAAATTCAAAGAGCTAATGTAACCATGATAACTAATATAAGAAAAACGAAATAAAAATAAGATAGTATTCACAAGCAGGGCTAACTACTCATGAGGAATAGACCATTACTATATAAACAAATGTCTATTTTGATTTTATTTTAGATAAATGGATATTCAAATTGACTCACCATTTCTACATAATAAAGTTTTTTGTATGATTTTAATGGTTTTGAAAATAGTTAATGGCCATAATAATATATTTTGCAAATTAACATGACGTGTTCTCATTCAGATTTTTGAACTCTGATTTTTCATAAATACCCTGCCAAGGACAATGATGTTAGTCATAATTTAAATGAATAAAAGTAAACTGTGAGTGACTGATGCAACTTATGTAAGAAACATTGTCATGTCACATTAAAACTGCTTATCGAATTGACTAGGAAATAATATATTAGATGATGAACAAATTAAAAGTATCTTTTACCTACAATGTCTCATTTGCATGGAAAAACTGTTTAAATCAGTGTCATACCTTATTTGCTCTGGAGTGCCTCCTGATGTCGCATTAGTTATAGCCCAAGCTGCTTCTTTTCTAGTACGAAACTCTGCTTTCTGAAGAACTTCAATCAGAACAGGAAAAATATTTGCATCTATAACAGCCTGAGAAGAGAAAAAAATGATATAGTCAGTGCAAATAGTGTTTTCAAAATATTACCAAGTAAAGGAATACTGAAACCCAATGGCTTTAAAATATCAAGATTTTTTGAAATACCTTTGAAAACATTTTATCTTACCTGCCAACAAACTTTTACATGTTTCTTTTAAAAATGAAATTAACTTTTCAAAGACTGCAGAGAGACCAGCAGATGGCTTAATGGTTATGTTGCTGGTCTTCCGTGTAGTCAAGTGCGGTTTGAGTCCCGAACTCTAAGGCTTAAAACTCACAGTGTGTGTGCGTGAGTACCCAAAATCCTGAGAGAAGAACGGAGGAAGGGATTGCAGCATGGCTATCTGCCCCTCAGGGGGGGTTGTTTCTCACTTTCTGTCTTTCTGTCTCTATCACTCCAGTGAGTGCACACACCCTGTAGCAAAAACATCTCTTGGAGGAAAAAAAGAAGACTGCATAATAAAAATCTTAAAGCTGATAAAGCACTAAGTTTATCACCAAAGTGAAAATTAAAAATTCTGAGAGGAAGATCATTTCCTAATTAAAACAAATATAAAACAATCCTTTTCTAAAAAGTCACAATCATGTGACAGGTACTGTGCTAGGCATTTATATATATATTTATATATATACACACATATATATGTGTGTGTGTATATATTTTTATTATATATAATCATATATAATAATTATATATAATAATATATGATGTTATATATAATATATAAACATATATATAAAATATATTATATATAATATATATTTTATAGTATAATCTATATATTCCAATGTCTAGCACATATATACACACACACACACATATATATATAATTGCTATTCCTCACTAGAATACTACAAATAAATATTACTTTAGTACAGAAAAAGTGTATGTTCCTTAAAAACTTTTCATGAGTCTCTTTTCAAAGAATCATTTTTAGTAACTCACTAAAAGAACTTTTAGTAACTCACTAAAATAACTTTTAAAGTAAAGTACTAAAAGTAGCTCACTAATAGAATATTGACTTTTGCCCAAATAATCTTTTTAGACCTTCCTATTCTATTCTCAGATTTGAAAGATATTTACCTGAATCTGAGCTCTATTTCCAGCGGTGATATTAGAAACAGTCCAACAGGCTTCTTTTCTAATTGACTCCTTTGGACTACTCAATAAATGTAACAGACAGGGTAATGCGGAACAATTCAATATTACCTAAAACGAGGCAGAAATGGGAACGAAAAGTTTTAGTAAATAATGGACGCATAAAATTTATAAATTAATCATTTGAATGTACAAAAAAATGGAAAAGAAAAAGAAACTGCTCTCAAAGTAAAACTTAAGCACTTGCTGTCTTTCACCCTCTTGCCAAAACTTATCTAATGCCAGTGTAGTGAAGTGCCCTGTTCTCAACCTACTAAAATAGAAGTCAGAGGTGTATTCTTTAATATAGGGATCTTACTTCTTGTTTCGTCAAATGAATGAGTGAAAAAAATATATAGCTGAAAGTACCTAATTCTATGTAACCATTAAGAATCTTTAATGTGGGGAACCAGCAGTTAGTGTAATGGCTATGTCGCTGGACTCCCACGTAGTCGACCATGGTTCGTGTCCCGGACCCGGTGGCTTAAAAAAAACTCACGCCGGGCGCATGTGCGTGCGTGCCCAAGATCCCAAGAGGAGAATGGAGGAGAAGGGATTGCGGCGTGACCATCCCCCCTGGGGGGTGATTTCTCGCTTTCTGTCTCTATGTCTCTCTCTGTCTGTCTGGCGAGCGCACGCGCCCTACAGTGAAAATCTCTCAAAAAAAAAAAAAAAAGAATCTTTAATGTGTAGAATAAGTGTGTTGCATTAAAATTTTTACTGTTCCCTTTTATTTCTGCAAAAATGTATATTTTGTTTTGTCCCTTTACATTCTTTATTTCACGGTGAGATCTATTCTGTTCCTATATTCAAACTATTCCAATGATTTACATTAAATATACTTGATAAAGAATGAATGGAGCAGTATACTGTAAGTTTAGCTGAAAGTGTACGCTTAGAAGGCCATTTTTGTTTAAAGAGCTATTTTAAATGAATCACTATCAATTACTAAGGGTCAACTGTTTAACTTTGGTCTTTAACTAGGATAAGATTAAAACAGAAAGAAAATACATATGTTGGAATTAAAATATTTATTAAGGTAGAAAACAAAGGAAAAAGAAATCTAACGTGTCAATGGAGATTAAAAGCCTATCTTCATAAAAGGCTGTACCCCAAATCTGTAGTCAAATGTTGGCATCACACCTTCTTTGATATCTCACAATTCTCCAAGTCACACACACACACACACACACACACACACACACATACACATAGTTTATTACCAATCCTGGAAATGCTTCTTAGACATCTTTCCTTCTACTCTCATAATCTGAGTCTATACTCTAGTATTGGGTTAATTTCCAACCCTACTGCTAACCTATTTATCATCAATCACCTTCTCATTAACAGTTACTATATCAATAATGTCTGTTTCTTAAACACACCTCATCTATGTCTGTCTGTGGTACTTATGATCACATAAACTTCTTCTAGTCCATTTAAATACTTCTTTGCTTTCAAGATCTAGCTTTAGTTTCAACTTCTTTATGGAAATGACACAGACTTCTTAGCACACTAATCTCTTGTCAACATTTTCAGAATCGGAGTCATCAGTACATACTAAATATACTATCGTGGGTAATTTGTTTTAATGTATACTTTCTTCCTAATAAGATGAGAAATCCCTCAAGAGCATCACCCATGTCTTGTGCAGTACTTCTCTGCATTGATACAGGTATAGGTTAGTGCTTTCCCACAGAGGTATTAGAGACTGATCTTTTTTTTTTTTTTTTTT